TGATATCATCAATGTTATATCAAAGGAAAATTAGCTCAATTTTTTTGTCGAATGAACCTTACTTACGTTGTCTTCGTGCTCAAGAATGTGTATATACAAGGAATTCATGTGCATAAAGATTTTTTTTCTCCTTCTCCGCCTATACAAAGCTTCAAGCTTTCAATGTGCATTGATGAATAACAACAGAAAAAAAAAGAGAGAAAACGAGCAGAGAAGGAGAGAGAGAAAGAGAAACGGCATCGTGTTGCACCAACACCACTACCCATCTAAGTGACCCATTTCCGGATCGTTTACTCTACAGCATTACAAACAACAACGTCATTATAATACACAACAAATACAAGGTTGACTAATGCCTACCGTTCACATGAGCACAAGGCATTGACATCAATTTTTTTCTTTTTCATGTACTTTCAAGTTCAACGAAGTATATCATTTGTACATCATAAGGAAATGAAAGTGATTTCTCTTTTTTTTTTTGGCTTTAATAATGATAATACATGTACAATCTCAATAGGCAGAAACTATGTGACGTGTTGTGCATCCGTTTCCTGTGTTGGCTTATAAAGACATCTTACACCTTTTGTAGTTAGTAATGCGTCGGTGCGCATCGGTCAGTGCACTGAAGAAACACAAATGGATCACAATGTGTCGTCGTTAGATTACTTAATTTTCTTTGCTTTTGCTTCGTTTCTGTGCTCTAATTTGATGCTTAATGAAGCGAGCAAGCAAGTCAGAACAGAATAAAGAGAAAATGAGAATGACAACAGTAATGCAGACGAGTTGTTCATTCGACGTTATTGTTTTTTTAAAGTAAAAACGAAAGGCATAGAAAATAAATCGAATTGAATTTATTGTGTATTCGATGATGATCATATTTCTTCAAATGTTTATATTAGGATTTTAATAATCAATGAAAACACAAAAGAACAATGTTTGTGTTATATTTCACTATCAGATAAAACTTCTATTTTGTTATTTCTTTCGAAGAAAAAAAATATCTCAATGCAAGCTTAAAGTTACATCAATCAGAAAAGATACATATATATATTACAACTAAAGATAAATGACTATATTGCAGTAGTCAAATATTCCCATCAAAATAATGATAGTAATTCTTTCGAGTGAACATCTGATATATATATAGTATGATTCTATCAAAAGATGATGTCATCATCGATCTATTATATATTAATATCATCAGGACAAACCAATATCATGATCGAAATCAGCCTTCTGTTCTCAAAAGAAAAAGAAAACAAATAAACTCAATCTAAATAAAGATGCAAATATTGCTCTTAATGCTGATTTGTCTCAACATATTTTTGATTCATCGTAGTGTGAACTACGTGATCGGAACATTGTTAGATGCTTGATTAAAGTGACTATAGAATAGATAATTTATATATATAAAACTTGGTGTGAATTAGGTATGCTATGTACAGTGTGTTAGTTCGGCAAGGAGATGTAACACTTCTCCGCCCACCAATTGTAAAAAATTTTAATTTTTTCCGAGCAAAGCTATAATAGTCTTTTACATACTGCTAAAAGAAAAATATTTTCCGTTTTCAGAACCATTATGAAATCTTCATCCGTCACATGCTGAGTGCTCCGGGTCACCACTAGCAATTTATTAACTATAGTATATTATTCATAATTCATTATAATATATTCAAAATATTTATATTGTCTTATTAATATTTTTTTTTCGGAAATATTAAAAATTTCAAACTAGTAGTCTCAGAACTGTTTTCTTCAGAATTACTATATTACTATTCATCTCATCGAAATATCAGAGTATTGATAGATACATTAAAATTCACTTAACAATACCGTTCAGACTACTTATTGAAGATAATAAAATGTTACCGTTGAAATTTTTTGATTAGAACTACATTTTCCTTCTTTTAATTATTCGATTAGTTTTTTATATTTGATTATAAATTAATTTGATTTTTCTTTATTTGTTACCAATGAATTTCTTTTATGAGTATTCGTTTATTTAATAATTAACGGCTGTATTTCTGTATGCTTTTTTTGTTCTATGTTCGTCTACATTCTAATTAAACTGTATTCGAAAGGCTGTTATTGCTATTAGACAGTGTTGAGTATTTCACGTCTATAGGAACTTTCTAAATTGGTCATTCACAATGTAACATACTGTGTGAAGACGTTTGAAGAAAAGGCAGTCACAATACTTTGTCAATTACCTATAGAATTGCATTGCTTCTTACGTCACCTTTCCATAGTTTGGAAGTACGTAGATAAGGTACTATTTGAAGATGAATAAATGAGTTTTAAAGGGCATTGTTATTAGAACTATCTATGTTGCTGTACATATTATTTCTGATTAATGTTACGATTCAAACATAGATAAGACAGTCGATGTTAACTTTTGAATAATTAAATGACAAAAAAAAAAGACATACTTTTACAAATTAAAGAATCTTAAACTTGTAGTACTAAAATTGCTGCTTTTTTGTCGTACATGGATTATCACAAATTAATGAGAATTATTCGTTAATAGGAAAGTTATTATCGTTCTTTTTGTTTCCCTACCGTCAATTCCAACTTTTGTCGATTGATCAAAATTGATGGACACTTCTAACTATGCATTATTGCAATTATTCATATTAAGCTTATGACGACATTTTCCGATGTTAGCATTATTATGTTTCACAACATACAAAAGCTCATCAGTCAAATCATGATAGATAGCTCACTGTTTCATCGATGATATATAATCTCGTTCTACAGTTCAAGGTTCAGTTGTTTGCATATTTCTCTGATAACTTTGATTTATTCATCCATGAATTAATCGTTTCAAACATGATTTTAATATCTTATCTATATTTAGCTTGGCATTGTCTTCGTCATCATATTCTATACTGATTTTTCACAAAGAAACTTATATGTTCAATAGAATTTTTGATGTACATTGTAGAATTATTTTCTTTAGAATATTTCATGAAGAAGAATATCTTTCCTTTTTTGTTGATTTTGAATGGTTTTAGTACACATATTCGCCATTTAGCTCGAATAAAAATAAGCGTTATGAATGTTCATAGTGTCCAAAACATCATTAATCAAGCGATCCTAAAGTACAAGCATATGACAAAAACTATTTTTTTTTATGGAATACAAAACAAATTTCAAGGATTTTTCTTCAGTTAGTTTATACAAAAAAATTCTGAATCTGCACTTAATAGATTAGCTGAGGGTTGTACAGCGGTGCTGTGAATATTGGGGAATAAATCATGGCATGAAGTTCACTGATATCCGAATTCGCTGTAATATTGAGACATCAACTTCATCAAAACGTGCAGTTCTTGTCACGGTTTGTTTCACTGATGCCACTGTAATCATTGTTCACTAACTACTTTAACGAGGAAACCTATCCCATTGATAATCTCCGTTTGAATTCATCATGTAGATAAAAATACTAAAAGGATTCATGACATCAGGTGTTTCTTCTCAAGTTATTATCAGTTTACTGAATTCTCAGCTTATTGCAGCGTATCACTAGAAAAATCGGAAGAATGAGTTTCAGACGGAAATTTTTCTCAACAATAGCTCTCATGGTCGCTATAATATCCTGAAATTTTCATCTAAAACGGATGTTTTCCTTATCAGATAAGACATTTGCAAAGAAAAAAACATTACTTTCACACAAGAGCTATAAAAATCGTCCACTTTCTAGCGATACTATTTCGATTTAAGCTATGACTTTCCGGATATCATAACGGCCATGAGATAAATTGATAGGAAGAATTCAAGGTCGGAACTTCATGTTACAATTTTTCTCGTAATATCTAGTAATACGTTGAAAGTTCAGTACAGGTGACCATAACTCACAAAGAAAGCTCTAATGTGATGAACCCTTTCAGATTTTATGTCTGCACTATGAATTCTACCTACAAGCTCAAATGGATATTATCAGCCGGATGGATTCCTTCATGAGTCAGTGATTAGTAAACGGAAACTATACATCCTTCGATTAGTTGATATGTCTTTTGATCTCTAATAGAATTCTATAAATTAATTTTCGTAATTGATTAATCATAAGAATTATTCAACAGACTAATCGTATAAAACTGATGTCATGATTTTGGATTCAATATTGAATTATTAGATAATTATATAAAGCATGCTCATCTTCCACAACACAATTTCGATACATTTATTTGCTTATAAACTAACTGCAAACACGAAGCAACATCAACAAAAGAAAGAAAATAGGAAAAACATGAATTCGAATGCAACAAACACGCTTAAACATCAAACACACATACAAACTGAACTTGAGCAAGAAGAAGAAAAAAAAACAATAAAATAAGGCTGTTGCTGTGAATATTAAAGAAAGAAAAGAGAGAGAGAGAGACAAAAAAGGAAAACTCCTATTCATATTGACATACTGTATTATTTCTACGAAATAGTAAAATTAAATCGTAAAAAATACAGTTTATAGAATGACGAAAAGAACAAAAAGAGAAAGAGAGAGAGAGAGAGGGAATGGGATGGGGGAATGTGTCATAACTCGAATAATAAGTATTTAAGATGACAAATATTCTCAAAAACAAGGAAGTATAAGGATGAATAAAAGATATAATAATAATAATAATAATAATAATAGTAATAATAATCTATCTATTGATTCTGACTTTTCGATTGTCATAGTCAGAAAAATATAAACAGATGAGCACAACAGCAAAAGAGAAAAAAAAGAAGGAAATACTGTAGAAAAAAAAAAAGAAAAGAAATTTTAAAGCTTTTTCAATACACACACACACGCATATACTAATCTAACATTTACCATTGCGCATCGATACATAAAAAAAAGAAGTTTTTGTTTTTTTGCTAGCGCTTTATACTGTTAATAGATATAGCCTGATGATCATTCTTTAATGATACTATTAGAAAATATTCTGTGTGCGTAAGATGTGTTGCAAGAAGAAAAAAAAAAAGAAGAAAAGAACGAATAAGAAACAAGAAGAAAGAAATCAAACACGATTTTCTTCATTTATTGATTTGGTTTTCATTCCATTTGAGCCATTACGTTCATTGAAATATTCGATAGGGACGATTGCTAAAAAAATACAACAAAAAACAGTGACCATCAATGAAAAAAAGGATTTCTCTTAGTTTATTTTTTGTTTTTATATTAAAGAGGCAAAAGCACAATGTGTATCTACAAAGAGCAAATGCAAAAGTAGAAGATTGTCTGTTTGTTTGTTGTTTAGCTCTAGTGCAAATGATTGTATCTGATTTATTTTTTTTTTTTCATCTTACCTACGCATATCATCGAGCACGTAGGCTGAAATATATATTAATCATGACTATGATAAACTAATATTTAGCTTTAACTAATGGGGAAAAAGAAATGTGCTTGAAGAGAAAGTTTATAATAGAATGAAAATAAAAAAAGAAATTCAATTAACATACCTCCTTCAGCATCAGTAACAATATTTGGAAAATTTGTTCGTACACCAACCGTTTCTTGTTCAATTGTTTTACCTTGTAATTGTTCACCACATGCAGCACAATAAATACGAAGTGCATATGCTGGTTCACCATGTTGAAATAAATCGATACCTTCAATATAAAAAAAAAAATTAGAAAATTCATTATAATGAAAATTTATTTCTTGTACCTCGTAATTCTTCTTCTTGTGAAACTTTTAATAAACGAATTAGTTTAAGTAAAAGAAAGAGAAGTGCAATAAATATAGCTGTCCAAGCCATAACAACAGCTGCCGTGCATAATGAATTAAGTAATCCCTAAATAAATAATGGTTAATCTTAATTTTATGTTTTTTTCTTTGCAAAATTCTCTTTTCGTTTTACCCGCCAACTTTCTCCAACACTAATTCGATAAATAATTGAAACGAATGTATTTTCAGTAAATCCACCATCAACATTAGGTCCAACTGTACGTCGAAAGATTGGTAAAGCAAAAATACCCCATAAACCTCCACCAATATGAACTATAAAAACACAATATAAATTATTTAAACAAAGATTTTTTTTCTTTCTGTCTTGTTTTCATACCAGCTGCTGTTTCAACAGGATCATCAATATGAAGTTTAAGTAATAATTTACTCCATAATAAGAAACTTAATGCAGCAATAGCACCAACAATTATTGCTGACCACGGATTATATGCAACAGCTCCAGCAGCAACAGCAACCATACCAGCTATAATTGAATTAACTGTTGATAAAAATACGCGTCGTTTAAGATGACGAGCTGGTTGTTTAATTGCTAAATATTGAAAAATAAATAAACAAATTTTGGATCAACTTTTTTTTCTTACATTCAATAACACGTTGTAATAAATAATAAGTTGCACCTGATGTTGCACCTGATAAAAGTGTATTAATAAGACCATGTCCAACACGATCACCGTAAGCTGTTCCTGTTATACGATGATCAGCACCTGAATTAAGTACAAAAAAACCAAATGCAACAAGAATTGCACCAACAGATGTAATCTAAATATTAGTAATAATTAAGTTTATTTTTTTTTTTTTGTTTATAAAAATTTTTCATATATATACTGGAATACTATGACCAAATAAAGGTAATGTACGTGGTTCAAATCGACCAAAACGTGGACCAAGAAAGATTGTACCAATTAATGCAGCAACACCTGCTGTTAAATAAATTATAGCACTACCACCGTAATCCTAATTTTTTTTTTTTTTGGTTGAAGAAAAATTTTTTTATAATCTATTAAATTATTATTATGAAATATGATTCTATCTTACTCGTGCACCAACAACAGCACCTAACCAACCACTAGCACCCCACATCCAATGTGCAAGAAATGGATAAACAAATCCTAAAAAAAATAAATTTTTTTATTACGATTCAATTCAATTCTATAAAACCTACCAGCCATAAGCATTGAAAAAAGTACATAAACTGGTACTCGACATCGTTCAGCAAATGCACTTGCTGCTATATTTGTAACAAGAAATGTTAACATATATTGATAAAAGAAATGTATATATGGATCTTGATTATTTAAATTAAAAGCATTATTTGAATTTGTAAAATTTTCTACGCCTGGATAAAGATCTTTTGCACCAAAACGTTCACTTGCCCAAAAACGTGTGCCTAATATAACATTAGCATAACCACCAAAAGCAAATGCATAACCAGTTATCCAATAAGCAAGGATTGAAGAAACTAAAATTATGGATTTTTGTTTTTTTGAAGATTTTGTTTTTTTTTTTCTTTTTACTACTTACTAAGAATAAGAAGTGTTTTAAAAAGGCTATGACCTGCATTTTGACTTCGAACACCACCTGATTCAATGAGTGTATAACCACAACTCATTACTAAAATATCAAATAAAATTTTGTTATCTAGTATTCTTTTTGTTTTTTTAAATAACTTACGAAAAACGACAACACCATTGAATAGAAGAAAGAAATTTTCAATGGCTTGTTGTAATTGTTCAGGTGTTGCTGCCATAGTTAATGTCTATTCTTCGTCGACTATTCAAATATATAGTAACTATTCAAGATTTTTTTTTTTCTTTGTCTAGAATAAACACAGACAGATAATACATATATATAAATGGTTTAAAAAATGAAGAACAAACTCTTGTTCTTTTTTTTACGCTTATAAAACAAAACAAAACAAAAAAAAAAGAAAATAACAAATATAAATTAAAAAAAAAAAAAAAAGAAAAAACTTTTCGTCTTTACATTGATTGATTTTCGACATGTGACGCTCGTTATCCACTAACTGGTAAGACGATATCTACTCCTCATATGGTGCTACCAACACCGACTGTGAAACAACATCATACATACATATATATATATATAGTAGCACATCGTACGAAATATGTTATCAATTCTTCTGTTTTTTTTTTCTCTATTTGTACGTGTAAAAATGTTGAATAAAACTAATCTGTCTTCATCAAATATTTCGATAATGTATATTTGTTTATAAAATTGTCAAACGTAGAGAGAAAAAAATGAAGAAAATTTGATATTGATTACTCACTAGGATTGAAATAGAGATGAGAAAAAAAAAAAATGAAAAGTATTGACGGCTGATAACTCGAACAGTTTAACTTTTATTTAATGCCAAGTAGAGACGATAAAGATGTTTAGTCCAAAAAAATACCACCAAGAAGAGCAAAGGAGAAAGAGAAAATGAATAAAAAAAAAAAAAAAAAAGAAGATCTGTTTTCTCTCTTTCGCTTGTTATATGCCGCTTCTGACGAGAAAGAATAGTCCGAGCACGAACGAAATGACGTAATCCGATCTTCCAAATTCATTCATTCAATTTTTTTTTTCGTACTGTTCGGATGAAGACAAGAAGCTAGTCCGAACATTGTTTGTGTTGAGATGTACGATCACAGAAACGAACAAGAATGATAATGTCGATATCGAGAAAAAGAAACTACCTATACATCTATATATATATATATTTTATGGTATTAAGTAATGATTGTCGAGAAAAAAAAAAAGAAAAAAGAAACACATATAATATATTTATGCATAGTTCGAATACTTTTGTGCTTCCTACTTTTTGCTTATTCTTTAAATTATTTGAATAAATCCACGCATACCTACCGTTTCTTCTTCTCTCTTCATCTATTCTTATTGATGCCAATAATATGAAGTGAATAAAAAAAGAAAACAAGGAACTACTACAAGATATATATATGTATAGTTGATTGACTTATCTTTCGAATACAATCATGACAATAATCAGACGTACATTTATTATTTGTTTTTGATAAATCTCTTATTCTGACAGGACAGAACATCCTGTAATTTGTTACTTTGCGAATCTAACATTTCACTAGACGATGGTATCATTTAAAGATGTTCTATCATTTCTGACTATCTCTTATCCTTTTAGACACAGTACGATCAATAATTATTAATGAACTGTATCCACTACTTTTATACATAAACACACAGATGGATCGAAACTATTATCATTAGTCTCAAGATATTTCATTATGCTTGTCGAAGAGAAAATACTAATATACATAAAATAATCTTTACAGATAACATCTTCCTCTCTAACAACAACCATGACCGTCATAATAGTGCTTAAAATATAAATTATTTTTCTTTGTTTTGCTATATCGATAGTATAAATATACAATCTACCAATTGCATATGAGATTTGGAGGAGAGAATTTTTCTTTTTCTTTTTCTTTTTTCTTCTTCTTCTTTTCGTTAGTTTTTCTCTAATAAAATGATGCACTGATTGATATTCAAAACACGAGATGAATGTTGTTTCCTTTCTCGACCTAATTGTGCCCACACCATTCATCCTTTCTTTTTTTTTCTCTTTTCCGCGACTAGTAGTTCTTACTCGTCAGTCGTTGATTCAGTCACAGCTCATCGATGACGCGAATACAGATAGAAAGAGACAAGGAGAAAAGAAGAAGAGACTTTCTCGTTTTTTGACAAATGAGATTTGGTTTCGGAACATGTGTGAATATACTCTAATTCTTTCGTTTTCTATCTTCAATTCAATCCCTCTAGAGATTTAATTATCATGCAAATGATTTTCTATAGTACACTTGTTTCTTTTTTTGAAGTTTATTGGAAATGTGCCAATAATGTTACTATGTTTCTATTTCATGATCTTTCATTTAGTGTAAGAAAAAAAAAAAGAAAAAGAAAATGTTGACTTACTCTGTTATATAAAAAAAAAGAAACAAACAAGATGAGGGCACTCTTACTATATATATATAAGAAAGGAAACTGTTTAGCAATTCCAATTGAGCTTTTTCCATATTGGTTGTAAAACAAATCCCAATGGAAAAAGATTTTTTCGAAACATGCTGTTTTTTTTGTCTTTTATTGTAGTTGACAAAGAAGAAAGAAAAAAAGAAACTTACTATACTATTAGTTGGGACAATGTCTTTTTGAGTATAATTTGTATTATTGGAGTGTTCGAAATGATGGCGACATTGGCAATCGATGGATTAGATTCAACGAAATAGCAGGATGTAAAATGAAGGAGAAACAGAGAGAGAGAGTACGAGAGAAAAAAACGAAAAAAAAAAAGCAACGAAGACAAATACTTTTAAAAAAGAAATAAAGAAGAAAGGGGGAGAGAAAGAGAGAGAGGGCACGGGAAAAGGTGAGATCCCATCATTTCAAAGTGTGCTGAACCATATGAGTCCAGCAAAGGTCAAGTTTTACGAGGAGAATTGCCTAGCACGTCGTGTTTGTATACAGGTGTCGATTGATTGTGAAGAAAGGGGAAGAAAAAAAAAAGAGAACAAAAAGAAAAACGAAAGCAATAAGCAATAGGTAAATTGAATTGAATGATAGAAAAAGAAAAAGCTCACTCTTACTTGTCAGTACCTACGTGTAGCAATTAAATAACATTCATTCGCAAATTTTTTCGATCATCTTATATATTTATTGATTTAAATTTTTAACAAACAAGTGAAATTGACCAAATGACTTATGTTTATAGGATAGACAATCGTTACGGTTACAAATATAATAATAATAATAATAATAATAATAATAGTAATAGAAAAAAAAAGAGAAAACAAAAACGAAATTGATCTATCTATCAATAGGAACGTGTCGTTATTCGAACGCTTCAAGCTTAACTGGGTAGTCAACCTGTAGAATAGTCTCTATTGCTGATAATAGTAATCGATTGAAATTCAAGAACAAGTATACGATAGTTATTGTCGATTGCATAAATCCCTTACGTATGGAATGTATACTAACTTCATAGACATACATACATACATTCACATTCTCATTCAGGTCGATATATTCATTATTCGATCTTATACATGCGTATTTGCTCAGTAGGGACACAACTGACAATTATTATCAGGACACGATGTTCACATGCAAGAAGGTTACTTCTGTACTATAACTGCTACAACTATACTATTTCTATGTGCTTTTTCATTCAATTCAACCGCTCTGTATATAGCGCTCGCGCGCGACTAATCCAATGTTTACTGGAGGAAGGCGGAGGAGGAGTAAGAGAGTGAGTATGTCTATGCACAATCGTCACAATACAATCATAATTCGTTGTCGTGTCCGACATAGAGAAGAAGTACACGAATCTTCTCTTTCTTTTTTTTTGTTTAGAGAGATAATTGAATGTGCTATGTAGTCGGTGATCGTGGTCATCTGATACATGCACTTTCTCTTTTTTCTTCCTTATTCACTCACACACTCTCTCTCTCTTCTTTCGATATAACAGATTAAGCAAGTGTTGAAGTCGCCACTTCTTAAAATCGGTTTTGTTACCTTTACAAATGCATATCGATGAACGAAGTGGTTACTGAATCCAATATGTATCATCTTTCAAGTATCAATGCACATACAAGCTCTTTCTTTTTATCTTTGATAGACGAGGAAGTTGATTTTTCGATGCTTTTCCATCACTTACTTGTTAGTTCTTTCTCTCTCTATATATCTTTTTCATTGGCTTTTTTTTTGTAGTTCGAGATAAAATCGATTACATCTTCTCATTGTGAATGATAAATTATTCAAACACTCAAAGCACACTACATATATATATATAGCTATATACTAAGCAGGACGATGATCATAATGATTTCCCTGTATAGTCAAGACAAGGAGAATGTAACAATTTTCGAGACACTAAAGCTCTTTACACAATATATATTACATCCACATATATATTCAATATCTATCTTTGTCCGCATGTCTCGATGGACTTTTATGCAATACCAATGTATACATATATATATATATTTTTTTTTCTTCTACCAAGGGACACGAAGAAGAACGAGAAAAAAAAAGAATACATGGTCGTTCATTTTAATATACAAGGTTGATCAGTTTTTTTCGAGGTGTCTATCTTCTATAGTCAGAAGTCAATATTTGCTGGCACTCGAGTAAAACACATCGAAGAAAACAAATGGAAGAAGCCTCGTTCGGAATAACTTTGTCTACTTACCCTCTATATATGATTTGATGAATTGTTGTTGTTCTGTCTGTCTGAACTGAAGTGGCATTCATTTATATCCAATGACGAGACTACTGCGCAACTGTACAGGGCATCATCTTCTTTCTATCGTATATTTATCTATTTCTTCTCCTTCTTTCCTTTTCATCGTTCTTCTTTCTTGGTTGTATTTATAATAATCACGTCGAATACAAGCATAACCAAGAGAGAATAATATGAAGGAAGCAGATGGATGTTCAGCAATGGACATGATGATGATGATGATGATGGTTTACTTCTTTCTTTCCTCATTTGATATCATGTGGTATCTTTCCGTTTCTATTTTAAGGTTAATCGTCTCCTGTGGTATAGGAAACAGTGGATGGGAAAAAAACATTTGCCTTACACATACCTCTATTCTTCTTCAAACTATTATCCTCGAAGTTATTCCTAACTAAGCAACACATGTGTGCATAATGCTGATGTTATTATATTTTCTGAAGGCATACATACCAGAACAAAAGAAATCAATTTATCATCGA